CTGTGTGTGTGAGTGTGTTAGTTAATGTTAAAAGGCTAAACTGAGGTTCTTCTTCCGTGAAGCAGCTCTGTTGTCCTCCATCCATATTTTCAGTTACAGGCTGAGTCATTTCTACCTTCTCCTCTCTGTCAACGCTCTCTGGTTTCATTTAAAACAGTCGATCATCAGATATTGTCCAAGATTAACCTTCAGGGTGAATATAGCTTGCTCACACCGAGAAGCTATAAACGTCATCATTTACCCAGAATGCTTTGCGTGTAAATAAAATGGCTCTGTCCTTGATAAAATATATTTTAAAACTTTTACAAAACTAAACAGCCTACAGTATTTTTACAGTCTTTGTTTTACTGTTAAACTATATGTTTATCAAATAAAGTCCAATGTTGCAACTAATTGGGGATCCCTTTAAATGCACAACCCCATCTGAGCTCAAGTGTTCAGGGTTTAAACCAGGTGGCAAACAATGTTACATAATGAGAGAGAGACGTAGAGAGATCTCTAACGGTGCACGGATCATCAAGGACCAGCTCAGGTTTTGGAAAACCAGGACATTCTAAGGAGAAATGGGCTGCTGGAAGCAGACATTCTTTGATGAGGGCAGAGAACTGAACTGTTGGAACTCTACCATACTTACATGTTTATAGGATAATGTGGGAAACATCCAACATCCAGAGTGATTCAAAAACAACTTCAGACCCAGTATTCTAATATTCAAGAGAACCTACTATCATAGCTAGAGATTGACGAGGTCCAACAAAGATGTTATAGCAAGCAGGAGAAGGACGGGAGGTGGGGCATCAACCATCATCCCACCATCATAAGGATGGATGGGAACCATCAGAATATGGCTTCCAAGCTTTAATGTTTGGCTTGTAAAGAGAGTCTATTTGTGAATAAACTTGTGCACTAATTGTATCTGGTAACTTTGTCTTGGTCTCCAGGAATCTCTGCAGGCGTGTCTGACTTGCCGTGCCCCCATCCTGCTGGCTCGGGGTCTGGTCCGGCTCGTTGTGATTGACTCGGTGGCAGCTCTGTTCAGGTGTGAGTTTCAGGCAGACGAATGGCGGGAAAGGAACAAACAGCTGCTCACCTTTTCTTCCAGCCTCCATCACCTGAGCCATCAGTTCAACGTCGCTGTCCTCTGCATCAACCAGGTAACACACACACACACACACGCACACGCACACACGCACACGCACACACACACACACACCCTTGTATTTGCATCAAACTGAGGACATTGTATTGACTTCCGTTCATTTCTGTAACTGTATTTATGCCTAACCGAGACATTTTCCCTAAAATTAACCATTACTGGTCTATAGTTAACACTAACCTGAACCAAAACTTTACTCACATCATACCTCTAAACCCAACTAGCAAAGCACAGCAGAGCTGCAAACAAAGTGAGGACATTGAAGAGGTCCTTACTTTACATTAAAGACCTCACATCCTCACACACACAGCTCCAATCCGGTACTGCTATCTTAATGGGGACCTGGCATTGACTTCCATTATTTTATACATCCTAACCCTGACCACAAGCCTAACCTCACAGGTGTAGGGGTCACCTCGAGTGAAGAAAAAAAATTTACTGCCTCGAAGCAGGCCTCGGACAGGCCTGACAAGAGGACAAGAACTCTGTCATAAACTGAACTCTACTTAGGCCATGACAGGTCATCCTAACCGTGGAAGAGAACCCCTCAGTTCTCTTAATCAGATAACGGACAGAACAATCTCTCCTGTTCGTGAGTCATTTGTTGTTTAACTAAGAATGTTTATGCATTTGTTAAATCATGATAATGCCTGTCACAGGAAAAAATGGAACAACTTCTTTTCTTTTATTGTACCTTAAAGATTTATAATGGTATAAAAAAATCACAGAGAATCTGATTACAATGTTTTCATTGTGTTTTTATGTAAATCACTGTTTTTATTTTACTGTGAATACAGTAATATAATTGTGGATTTTTCCTGAGAAAATCTTTCATTTATCTGGACTAACAGAAGGTTCAGAACTGATTGTAAAACAGAAATGTTAATTAATCATCATAAATGTTTTGCAGTGATTTCTCTTAGTCTATCAGAAGAAAGCTGAAAAGAGGTTATCATATCATGTTGTTGAACAACCACAGAATTTTAACCTTGGGCTGGTGCCGGCTGGCAAATCTTTATCTTTCTTTCTCTGACTCATCTCTAAGCCTGAGGTCAGAACCAAAGTTTGTCCGTTTCTTTTACTAACCTGGACGGCTTTGAACGACACACTCTTCTTCCTGATTCCAACCTATGAAGACAGCTGGGATTCTCTCCGGAGAAACCTCAGTTTGGCTTAAAGTCTGATCCCATGAGCTAATTAGGGAAGACTTCACAGCCAGGGACCCGGCACGCCTGCCGGTGGTCTCAACTATTTTACAGTTAAAATAAATGATTATCAAATAAAAATGTTACAACTAATCAGGGATCCCATTAAAGGTTTTTAGATAACAGTTCATTTCTTTATTTGATTCTTTTCATGCCAAAAGAAAAGATTAAAATGAATTAAATCTCTGGGACTAAAGAGCTCAGCTGAGCTGTGACATCATCACTGTGCGTCGCCTGCTTCATGGTGTACTTTGAGCTGTTTCTTGAGTGCAGATCCTGGAGCTGAACCCAAATTCTTCATGGTTTTATTGAACTTCTAACTGTGAACTTATTCTTCCAGTGGAAAGACGTGAGAGTACATACTGGAAAAATTTCTTTTTCTGAAAAAAGTTTTGTAAAAAAAAATCCCAGTCAACAAGAATCCTCCCTGTTATGATACATGTTCACATCATTTATTAACTGTATCTAAAAATATCAGATGTTTACAGTTTGTGTCCAAACGCTTCATCTTCCATCACTACATGTACCCGACTTCACGAGATCTAAAACATATCGTGGTAACGGGGCAGTGCGGGTTTATGCAGCCAATCTGATTAAATGTTTTTATTTGTTTTTCAGGTCACAGATGTTTTCAACCAGTCAGCCCATGGTTTGGGGTAAAAACAGATCAGTTTTCTCTCATCATGTCATCATTTCAAACAAGCGTTCAGGCATTTCATTTATTATAAATAATTATTTTTATTTTATTTAATGTATTCATTATAACATATTAAGTTTCGACTTCAATTAAATATTTAATTTCTATATTTCTGTTCCCTGAAATTGATCAGTTGATTTATATTTCGAAGATCTGATGGACGTCTGTTCTTTGTCTCAGTCCTTTGTCCTCGTCAGTCTGTCCCGCCCTCGGTCTGGCCTGGGCCAATCAGGTCACGGTTCGGCTGATGATGCGTCGTCTTCAGGGGACGGTTTCCCGCAGCAACCAGAGCAGCGCCCTCCGCAGGTTGGAAGTGGCGTTTGCCCCTCACCTACCCAACGATGGCAGAGGCTTTGCAGTTTGGAGGGAGGGGATTCGTGGAGTCCTGGACCCTGAGTGACTTGAGACCACCTTCATTCAGTTCTTACTAAATATAGGTGAACTAGAAACTTCATGTAAATCTAAAAATCTGATGTTCTTCTCCTGATTAAACTGACAGTCTCAGTGGAATGTTTGGATTTTCTTTATATTGAAAACTGATGAGGAATTAGGGCCTGCTGTGGTCCATACTCTGTTATAGTTCAGATAATAACAAGAACCAGAACCTAGAGGAGCCTGCTGTAGTGGTCTGACCATGGGGGCCAAACTGGATTCAAGGAAAATATACAATGTAGCTCCCCACCACCAGTGAGTGGATGGTTGCAGGGGCGGTTCTAGGGGCGGAGCCACAGGGGCATTGGCCCCAGCTGAAATCCGATTGGCCCCCTGAAGTGCCCCGGTCCTGTCACTCATCTGCCCTTTACTTGGGAGTGATGATGGTGTGTGCAGTTCCATGTTCAAACACTAGTTGCGCTAATGAGTCAAATAATAAAGTCCAGAATTCTTCTTCTCTGAACAATCCTGAAAAAAGTCTTTCATCTGACAAACGATGGTTGGATTTTTTCACACGTTATGTGTTTGAGAATATTCTATCTATGTACAGTAAAATGTGTGAAAAACTGGGAATTGACTGAGAATTTACTGTGCAAGCTGTTTTTGGTGCCACTTTACAATAAGGCTCCCCTTATAGATGGCTTATAAAGAGTTTATGGATAGGTTACTAATTCATCTGTAAAGTTTACACTTTATAAATCATTAATAAGTGTTTATTATGTAACAAATAAGGACGAGAAAGACACAAAACTGTCCAGTTTCTTACCAGGTAATGTGACAAATTTGTTCACGTACATATTACATCTAAACGTGGTACATTAAACATTTCAGACTAGGTTACTACATTTTAATTACAATAATGATAAGAAATACATCTTTTAACATATTAATATTGTGCTGTATTACTGCATTAGAAATATTCACAACTGCCAAAGGGAGGCTTATCGTAAAGTGTAATACAGTACACTATTTATTAATGATAAACATTTATAAATGCCAAAAGTTAGTCTTTAATGTGAAAAATCGTTTTTAAAACTTAGTGTTGATAATCCATATTTGAAATTATTGTTCAAACATGTAACTACTCAAAAATGTTGATGTATCAAAAAATAAAAAATAAAACATGTCAGTTAACGTACCAAATAATCCCACCCCATCTAAAATAATGTACAGTTTTATACTGTAAAATAGGGATCTCTTTAATATTTGTGGATATTTATAATGCAGTACATTATTATATATTAAAAATGTGCATTTCCTAATCATTATTGTGCTCACAAGGTAGTAAACTAATCTGAAATGTTTAATACACAAACAGATTTGGCTCAGTATTTGGAAAGAAACCAGACAGTTTAGTCTCTTTTTTGACCTTAATTAATGCATAATAAACACTTATTAATAATTTATAAAGTGTTTACAGATGAACTACCAATAAACTCTTTAAAAGCCATCTATAAGGGGAGCCTTATTGTAAAGTGGTACCTTTTAAAAAGAATGACAAGTGTTTGAACATGTATGACTGGTTAAATGTAAACATCTTACCAAAACTGGGGATTTGTGTGAAAGGATGTTGAACAAAGACTTGGCCCCTCTATGAATATTGTGGCCCCTTGATGGCCCCTTACTCAAAAAAAAAAATCGTAGATCTGCCACTGGATGGATGGATGGATGGATGGATGGATGGATGGATGGATGGATGGATGGATGGATGGATGGATGGATGGATGGATGGATGGATGGATGGATGGATGTCTGTAGAGTGAAGAGCTTTGGAGTCTTTATAAGTTCAGAACATTTACCATCATTTCTGTCGATATTTACCACAATATATTGAATGACTTCTTTTATTAATACAAATGATCTTTTCCAAATGAGGGTTTTTGTAGATTTAAAACATGCATAAGATAGTTAAAAAGACTCATCATTAGCACCGGTTATGTCATAATCTATCATAAACTTTTTCATTTATTATTTCTTAAATATACATTTTATCAACATCTAGCATATCAGGTAAAAAAAAGAAAGCCCTCGGTAAGAATCTAATCATTTGACTTTTAAAATGAGAATACAGAAAGAAAGAAAAGTCAATTTTCTGTTAGTCTTTCCACAGCAAAATGAAAGATTTCTGAATTCAAACATAACTCTCACATCTTCAACACAGCTGGCTGCAGAGAACGAGTGATTGACAGGTCGTGAATAGGTAATTCACACTGTTGACACAGGAAAACAGCTAGAACATGCAGGACCAGTGTCCCACCCAACATGACGAACTACAGGCTTTTATTTTGAAATGAAACGCTCAGGCACATTCCCGTTATTTCCGGTGGTGGTTAGGAGTGAGCTGGAGATGCGCAGCGCGTGAAGCTCCAGGTCGAACAAACGTCAGGTGAGAGGCACGCTGTTTTGTTTGTTTACCTGTCTGTTTGTTTACCGGTCTGTCTGTTTGTTTACCTCTCCGTCCGTTTGTTTACCTCTCCGTTCGTTTGTTTACTGTTTTTCTGTCAGGCTGCAAAGCCTCATCACTCATCGATGACACCCATCAGTGACGTCATTAAGGCGTCGGGGTTCATCAGCTAATTGTTAAGGTCAGCTAATAAATAGATTAATAACATAAACAATCTAAACAACAAGAAAAACAATCAGGTGACGTTATGATGGGATAGAGGGCGTGGCTTCGCTGATCAGGCTGTCTGATTGGCTGTAATTAAATCAGCTATTGGTTTGTCCAGCTGCTACTCAGATCAGCTGGTAGATGGATGGGTTGGAAAATAAATCAGTTGTAGATTGTTTGTCTGGGAGTTACAGCAGCTGTAGATAGTTCGGCTGCTAGTTACAGCAGCTGTAGATAGTTTGGCTGCTAGTTAAATAGTTCTTTCTAAATCACCTGTAGTTCTTTCGTCTGGCAGTTAAATTAGCTGTAGTTCTTTCAGCTGGTAGTTAAGTTAGGTGTAGTTCTTACGGCTGATAGTGAAGTTAGGTGTAGTTTTTTGGCTGATAGATAAGTTAGGTGTAGTTCTTTTGGCTGGTAGTTAAGTTAGGTGTAGTTCTTTCGGCTGGTATTTAAGTTAGGTGTAGTTCTTTTGGCTGATAGTTAAGTTAGGTGTAGTTCTTTCAGCTGGTATTTAAGTTAGGTGTAGTTCTTTTGGCTGATAGATAAGTTAGGTG